CCCTCTTGTGCGGGAGCAGCAGAGAATAAACATCTCACCTGGTGCCCGTAGCTGTGCCCTGGCTGCTCAGCTCTGCCCCGGGGTGACCCGGGACTGCGGTGCTGGTGCCACCCGTGCACCCTGGTGTCACACAGAGGTGGCCTGGCCAGGGCAGGGGCTTTTCCCTATGCTCGGCCTCCCTCTCGCCCTCGTGTCCTGCGGCCCCCGGCTTTTGTGGTGTGCACAAAGGGGCAGTTTGGAACAGAAAACCCTTCCCCACGAGCCTGCAGTGCCCAGCACAGAGCGGCATCGGGCCAGTGCCATGGGCAGTGCCACCGTGGCGAGGTCAAGAAGGGGCCAGGGCCAGTGCCCTGTCACCTGGGACCTCCCCCCCTGCAGTGACACGAGTCACTTGTCCCCAGCGCCCTGTGCTCAAGCCCAAGGACACGGGGCCAGCCTGGCTTCCCGCAGAGCCATGTGGCACAGGGGCAACACGGGGCTGGGGGGACACTAAAACCACCCCTTGGGACCAGGTGGGGACAAGGCCGGGCCCTGCAGGACCAGCAGCACTTTTGTTCCCACTCTCCCCCTGCCCTCCGCTCCCCACAACACGACAAGAGTCTCCTTTATTTAAATAACCAAGGGTGGACTTTTAAAAAAGCAAATACATCAGCAACCCGCTTCCCCGTGAACAGCGGACACCCCCGCCCAGGGACACCGTCCCCTCACTGCGGGGACTGCACAGGGGACACCTGCCCAGCTCCCTGTCACCCCCAGGGCCAGGGGATTTTCGCCTCCACGACACCGTCCTTCCCTGCTGCTTTCCCAAGTGCTGCTTTGGTTTCAGTCCCCGCCACCCCAATGCAGCCTGCGGGCTCCCTCCCTTGGGGCTCGCTGGTTCTCCAGGAGCTGCTCGGTCCTGAATGGACAAAATCCCCCCCAAAGGTCACCCTGAGTCAGGCTGCAAAAGCTGTGGCCTGGAGAGGGCCCTCACGGCAGCACCCAGGGGTGCTAAAGCCTCCCCAGCCATGGTCACAACCTTGAGCCACCGCTCAGAGCAGCTGCAGCCCCAGGGACACCCCCAGGACCCCGCTAGCCGGTCACCCCAAAACCCAGGGCAATGAGCCCATGGGGACGCGTATCCGAGCTCCCTGCGGAGCCCTGTGGAGCCCATGGCAAGCGGGAAGCCGGGCGGCCCTGGGTCCCTGAGCAATTTCCAGACCGGGAGCTCCTGCAAAGGCAGCGCAGAGCCGCGTCAGAGGCACCATCTTCCGGCCAGCCCCGACATGACAAGTGGCCGTTCGTGCAGCGGAGCCCACGGCAGCACCAGGGCCCACGGGCAGCTGCTGTGATCCCTCGCCCTGAAGATGCTTCTGGGGAGACAGGGGCAGCATTTGGCTAAGGACCCCCCCAAGCACACGCTGGCCTGCTCAGGTGCTGCCTCCCTGTGTTTCTGAGCACTTGTACAGACAAGGAATGAAGCCCTAGGACCCCTCTCCAAGGCTACGCGGCCCCACACATTCCCCTTTCCAGCCCTGGCTCCCTGCTTCCACACACAGGCTTGGCACAACCCCAGCATGAGGCGCCGCTGTGGCCCGAGGGAGCTTCCCAAGGAGGGAAGGTCACCGGGCCCTTGAGCTCTGCTCCGGATCCCCCTGGGGAGGACACCACATTCCCAGCGTACGGAAGGGTTAAACGGGCAGGATCAGAGCTCAGGCTGGGCCCCTTGCCTGAACGCCCACTGAGAGCGATGCTCAGCCCCAAAGTTGGGATATTTTGGCCAATTCTCAGCCCTGCCCAAGCGGTGCCAGGGCTGCTGCCCTGCAGTTTTCCAGCCTGGACTATGAGCCACCTCCCTCCCTGCGCCTGCAGGGACATGGGCACACACGAGGCGAAGCCCGGCTGGGTTTTTTGGCACTGGTCCCCCAACCTGAGCTGGGGGGACTCAACTCTCTGGTCAGCGAGCCCTTTGGTAGCACAAGTTTGATGCCTGAGAAACTCAGGGAAAGGAAAAAAAAAAAAAAAAAGAGATTTCATTGCAAGATAATGAACCCACAAGAGAATTCCACTCAGCGGGGCTGGCTTGACACCCCGTGTGTGCCAGAGTGGTGTCCCCAGAGTTAGAAGTCACTGCAGAGGAAGAGAAGTCCCTTTGGTATTTGGCAACAGAGCGGTCCCTTCGGCCACCACCACATGGTGCCACCACTGGAGAGGCATCTAGGAGGAGCCCTGCGCTTGGGCCGGGCGGCCCGACAGCCTGAAAAGGGTCTCCCGCATGAGACAAAAGCACCTGTCCGTGAGCGCCGAGACGTCGTCTGTTGTCAGCCCCTTGGTCTCTATCGGTGGCAGAACCTCAACCTTGATTTTGCCTGGGGAACAGAGAAGGTCTGTGAGGAACCTGTGTGCCACAGGGGCCCTCCCGCAGCCAGGAGAGCAGCCTGGTGTCCCCAACGGGCTCTCTGGCTAGGGGAGCTGCTCCGAATCCAAGGCTAAGCAGCACTTGTGAGACTCAAAGGCAGCTCTGCTCTGAGGAGGACCCTTGAGCACCTTCTCCTCCCCAGATCAGTGTCACCTCCCCTCGCACCCCCAGCCAAGCCGGGCAAACTGCCCCTTCCCGAGCTTGGGATGGGAGCTGCCGGCCAGGGGGGAGCACGGGGTGCAGGACCTGCTGTGCACAGCCGGCACTGGCAGTTTTCCAGTTTTCCCCTGCCAAAACCCAACCTGCCTCCTCCTGACTGCGGAAGGAGTGGCTGGAGCTATGGCAGTTACGTGCAGGAGAGGTGGTGCCCGGTGTGGAACCAAAGCCTCCCCTGGCACGCTTAACTGCCCTCTTTGCCCAGTGAGCCCAGCCCATGCTCTGGTGCCAAGTGCTCTGACACAAGCGCTCCACATTTCTCCCAGGGAAAGTCTTCCTGTTTATCCCAACTGCCTCCCGCACAGGAATGGCTGCAGCTCCAAAGGGCTGCAGAGACTCGTGCTCTTTTGCTACCTGATTTGAAGAGCTTCTTCTTCGGGTCGTAGAAGGAGGTGTAGGAGGAATACACCACGGGGATCACAGGGACCTCGAGAAGGAAAAGCAGAGAGTTACTTGTGCTGCAGCACTTGGCCTGCGGAGGGAACCCAGGCAGGCCAGGGACCAGCAGCAAGTTGCAGGCAGCAGAACCTGGCCCAGCACTCGGCTCCCTGCGCAGCCCCCGCAACAAGCCCAAATCTCCCCAGGTTGTCACGGTCGCGATTTGGGGGCGCGGAGCCGCAACCCAAGGGACAGGGACATGCTCAAGGGCTCCTCCTTCCAGGCCAGCCTCCAGCACCCCAGCGCCTTCCCAGCTGCAGGGTTCCTGTTGGAACAAGCCCTGCCGTGTTTCCCAAGCACGCGCCGAGGCCGGGCCTTCGCCACAGAAGGTGGGAAGGCCCCGTCTGCAGGCGATCCAACGCCTCCAGCAGGCAGGGACGTGGCCAGGAGCCAACTCGGCTCCTTTGTGGTGACAAGAGACCCTGACCTAAGGGCAGTGCCTCTCCGGCAGTGCGAGCAGAGGGGATTCCTCTTCCCAGGGTTGTGCTTTCCCATCAGCAGCCTCAGTGGCGCCCAGTCTGCCCCACATCGGCTCAGCTCCTCTGCCAGAGGGGAGCCAGCTCCAAGTTTTCCACCTACCTCCCTCCTTTCGCAGCTCTGGGGGTGGCAAATGCCAAGCCCATAAGCCCAGAGCTCTGCCCAGTCCAGCCCCACGGCTCCTTTAGGAGCGCTGGCAGCTCCAGCACTGCCTCTAGGAAGGCTCAGAGCACTCGTGTCACCCTTCCCAAAGCAACACGTTGCCTCTGTAACCTGAGGGACCGAGATAGGAAACTAGAGCTCCTAGGAAGCCCGGGGGCAAGGTCACAGCATGGTGCTTGCCAGGCTGCCAGAGGCTAGAAGAGGCTCTGCTCCTGCTAGGCAGCACTTGTGACACACCTAGGCTGAGGATCAGGGATTGCGTGCTGGGAATAGAGCACGCCAAGACAAACACAGCACCTTGTTGCATAAGCAGCCTGCAATAATGTGGCAAAAAACCTGCCAGGAGCCCCCTCACCTGCGCCTGCACGGCGATGTGGAACGCTCCTTTCTTGAAGGGCAGCAAGTCGCCGGTGCAGTTCCTGGTGCCCTCCGGGTACACCCAGACCTTCACCTGCGCACGGGGACACAGAGCCCTGCTCCGGCAACGCGCCCGCACGGCTCCCTGCTGGCCACAGGGCAGAGGAGCCAGCACTGGGAGCGCCACACAGGGCCACCCTGCCACCAGCGTACTCACGTTGTCCGCCACCATGGTCCTGGCCACCTCAGCCATCACCATCTTGGCGCTGCTGGTGCTCTTCCTGTTGATGAAGATGACGCCGCCCAGGTAGATGATGAGGCCCACGCTGCCGGCGTACATGAGCTCCCTCTTGCCCACCTGGACACAGCCATCGGGCAGGACCTCCATCAGCCCTGGCGTGAGGGCAGAGGGTGAGACCCAGCAGCCACCGGCACGCGCAGGGGCCACAGACACGTGCCCAGGTGGGCACAGAGGCACCAGGGAGAGGTCAGGGCCTTGTTTCTCTGCTGCCTTCTGCTGGGTTGACCAGGGTTGACCTCAGGGCTGCCCACAGAGCACATTAAATGGGGTCAGGTCACCCCTCGGCCAGGAAGCCAATGCTGGGAAGCACCAGAAGTTGAGCAGCACTTGGGATGCAACATGGGGGCTTCTGCCTTCCTCCTAATTAATAGAGCAGGCAATTTGCCAATAGAGCAAGCTGGACAGGCTGGATCTGCAGGACAGACTGGGCAGGGAATGGGGGCAGCTTGGCCAGGAATCCCACCAGGAAAACCCTGCACAGACAGACCAACATCTGCTCTTCCCCGGGCCAGCTCCTCACCCATCATATCAAGGATGCTCTGGTGGTTGGACACGATGATAGCAGGACCCTCCACCTCGAAGTTCTCCAGGCCTTTCACCTCAAACTTCAGGCCAAAGAAATACTTGAAGCTCTTGACCACAGCTTTGATGATTCTGTGGAAAAGAAAAGCAATTAGTCAGCGGCAGAGCAGGAGCAGGATGGGGCTGCACACAGTGATCAGGAGGAGGCAAAAGGAAAAAGCTCTGCCACAAAGGAGGCCTCCATCTCCTCTGCTCTGTGGTTCTCCCAGGTGTCCACGTGCATGATCATTCCTCTTGCTGCTGGTGCCATCCACTCTGTTTGGTGGCTGTGCTCTACCCGGTGCTGGCCAAGCTCCCCTGCCGCAAGGAGGAGATCCCTGTGCTGTTCAGACAGCCCTTCCACGAGCTGCTGCTCTCCAGCACGTGCATGGAGCTGCACCGCCTTCCTCCAAGGACGGTCACGTTAATCCTGCCCCTTGCAGGGCCGGAGATGCCGCTTAGCAGCGCTAAGAAACACGGAGGGTTGTTGCCCCAAGGACATCCATAAAAATGAATAAAAGCAGCAGAGTAAGAAGTGCCTCCCTATGCAAAGGGATGCAGGTGGTGATGGTGACAGGGGGTGAGGAACCTTGGGCACATTCACCTGCAGGCCAACAGCTTTGGTCCACCCGGGAGCTGTAAGTCCCAGCAGTGTCAGGTTCTTCCCCCCAAGCCCTGGGGCCACCAGCAGCTCCCAGGGACCGGCCAACGCATCCAACGGGCTCCAAGGCCCTTGCTGAGCGCCCCCGGCCCACGCAGAACCCCCACGGAGCAGAGCCCATCTGCACCAGCCCTCGGCAGGGCGAACCTGGGCACCCTCCAACTGGGCCAAAGGACAGCGCAGGAGCTGGCAGCACTAAGGGCTATTTTGGGCAGGAAGGCACCGCTTGCCAGGGCAGCGGGCAGAGCAGCTCGCAGCTGAACGAAGCCTCCCGGGAAGGGACACGAGCTCGGCCCTGGAGCTCCTGCTCTGATGCGCCCCGTGCCCATCTGCTGCCTGCCGGAGAGGGGACAGAGCCTGGCTGCCCGCCGAAGGGCACCGAAGCTGAGAGAGAAGCTGCGAGAGCCTCAGTGCTGCTGGGGAAGGCTCCTCATCCCCGTATTGCTGCTCCCAAGGGCAGGGAGAAGCCCCCAACCGGAGCTGGGGACACCAGTGCCACATGAGGGGGTCTCGGGGATGCTCTTTGCCGCCTGCTTGGCAGCCTCCCCTTCCCGGCCAGGGCTGCGAGCGGCCCCGTCGCTGCCATCGGCCTCTCTGCTGCTACCTGCAAGGCCCGTGTCACCGGGGTGTCCCCATGAGCCCCGACACGAGCGTTCAGGCCAGGCCGGCGGCCGCGGGTGACACTATCAGCCCGGTGGCATCCAGAGCCGCGGCAAAGGTCACGGCCGCACCCAGGATGAGGGAATTGCCGCATTCCCGAGCGCCGGCACGGAGCAGGGCGGCACGGAGCCCAGCCCAGGCGCGGGGAGGAGGGCACGGGTTAACAGAGCCACGGTGACACGAGGCGGTGGGGACAACGCCGTGCCAGACTGACCTCAATCCCACTTCTCCGCCCTCGTGACTGCCAACCAAAGCAGAGTTCGCCGCTCCGGCAGCGCCTGGGAGAGGCTGGTTACACATTACTCAAGAGCAAAACATCCCGCTCCCCCCTGCCAGGAAGGAGGGAGCGTTTCCTTGCACAAGATGTGGGCCGAGCAGCCGGCAGGCAAAGGGCCAGAGCTCGCACGTGGGCAAGACCTGGGCAGCCAGCAGCGGGGCTGGACGGAGCCCGGTACCGTCCGCAGGGCCCTCC